TTGAAGTTTCATTTTCATGAAAATGTTGGCATGAAATCCCTTTTGTAGCTTTATGTATCAAAACTTGTACCTTTGATTCCATTTATGTAATGTGTACATAAGTACACTCTTTTCAATGTATTTGACATGTATGAGATGAGGCCGGAGGCCAATGACATGTATTTTGTATTCTATGCACTTTCGTTGATAAGGTTCATTATGAAAATATTGAAAATTCACGAGTTATTGCTTCATAACTTTTGTATCGGGTGTAGGAATTCCATTATTTTTCTTTCATAGGGTCTCCATGATCATGCATGAGGTGTGGCCAAAGGCCAAACCATATTTGAAATTCATGTATATTCATAAATGTTGAAAATAACCTTAATGGGAATATTATGAAAACTATGCGATTTAATATGTCATTTATGCACCGGAGTGTGCATTGGATATGAAATTCATTATCTAGCATTCATTTAATATGTATGAGGCGTGGCCAAGGGTCAAATGCCATTTTGTTTTCATTTTTGCACTTTAGTTTCATATTTTACATTTTGAGCTAAAATACTAAAATCTGAGCCTTTAAGGGTTTATTTCAAAATCGGATGATGCAAAGTGTGCATGAGCACATTTATTAGGACCTTATTAATATGCATGAAGTGTTTCCAAGGGTCAAACGGTAATTTAAAATCATTTGTTAATTTTAGTTTTCAAATTTCCCATTTCTAGTTTATTTTTGCCTTTTTGGTCGTACGGGGGTCGAATTTTGTATCGGTGATATTTTTAAGACGTGGACCATTGTAGCACGTCCTAATGGGTAAGTTACGTTTGCATGCATGATCGTTTTCAAGAAAAACCTCATCCTTGGTGATTTGAGCCTTCTATGGACTCATTTTGCATTTTTATTGCACAATCTGATTTTAGGGCATTTTGGGGTCTTCCTTCACGAAATAAATTTTGGTCTTTACATGGCCACTTAGAAAACGTGGTTTTAGGAGGGGTTTCTTCTTCGTGTTTTTCCATAAAATGTCATCTTGGTGCCGGAAATCCCTCGCAAAATTCAGTTTTCAGTTTGTATTTTTGCAGCTTTTTAACCCCCATGACCTGATTTAATGGAGGGGCATTTTGGAAATTTTACAATGAGTTTTTTTCATTTTCTCTCACATTACTGGGTAGAAAATTTGATTTCGGGAGGGGTTTCTTTTTTGTGTTTTTCCATAAAAATTCGTTTGGTAACCCGTTTCTGCTCTTAAATCAGGACAGTCACTGTAGCAACTTATGTCCTCTTGTCCAATTCTGATCTAGGGGTATTTTGGGAATTTTTCAATGTGCGTTTTTTGTTTCCTTTTGCTTGGTTAGTCGGGTAGAAAACTCAATTTTAAGTGAGGTTTCTTCTTTGTGTTTTTCCAGAAAATGTCATTTCAGACCCGAAAGCGTCAAATCTGGTTTCCTATGCGCATCTGCACTATTTGAACAAGTCTATTATAAGGGCATTTTGGGGATTTCACGTCAAAAATAAAATTTTCTTACAACATGGTCAACTTGAAAAAATTATTTTGAGGGGGTTTCTTCTTCGTGTTTTTCCAGAAAAAGTCGTTTAATGCTTCAAAATGGCACACGAATTTCAGCATTTTGCCTAGGTTACTATTCACGGCCGTGGTGACGTCAAAACTTTGTTTTGACTTTTCTCTTTCATCCGGATTCCGAATCAAGTGATTCTTGACTCCAACTTGATTAATTTTTTACTGTCTCCAGTGGTGTACTCGGTAGCACCCGACTTTATATTTTCAGAAATGATCATTTTGCCCTTGGGGCTATTTTTGTTCGGTTTTCTTGTAATTCACTTCCGCTACTTTCTTTTGAGTTTCGTAACCTAACAGGAAGTCATAGATATGTCTCGGGAATAATATACATTCTAGGGACGTCATTTTCATGTAAAATGACCATTTTGCCCCTTGGGGCTTATTTGTCATATTTTCGATCTTTTGCTTCCGCATCAGTTCTCATTGAGTTCTATGACCTCATGGAAGGTCACTTTGACTTCTTAGAGTCTTGTTTTCTGTTTTCGCTTTCGCATTTCGGATCCGTTATTGGATCATCCTTTCAGTTCATCACTGACGCACTGGCCTAAAAACTAGAGCTGTCACAACATCTCTCCTATTTTTACTTTTTTCAAATTGGCTAATCAGTTCATTGGATTGAAAAATATCATCAGCCAGAGTTGACAGTTGACTTTGAAATTTAAGGGGCATTTGTTGGCACTAAAACTTAGCAGCCATCTCAGCGATGACGTGGACCAATGAAAAAGTGACAAGTACTTCGACATGACGTCATAAAAATCAGCCAATTGGAACTATCAGGAGCGAGCAAAGGGGTAACACATGGAAATATGTTTGGCTGCCTAGTTGATACGGCAATTCCTGAAATATAGCACCTATGTATGACTATTTTCAAAATGTGTTGTTAGCATGAAAAGGAAAGACTAGAGTTTAAATAAAATTATACAACTAAATAGGAATTTAGGTTGGAAAAAGAAGGACAACTTTGAAGGATGGCAGCTGTGTAAGTAACAACTTGGACGAGTAAAAAACAACAAGTGGCCTTGATACAATGTCAAAGGTAAGGCCATTTGGGATAATAAGAGACTGTTGCCAGACTTATAGAAGATAGTTGTTAAATTATAGCAACTAATACCTGAGTATTTCAAAATGGGTTACTAGCATAAAAGAGGAGAGCTTGATTGAAAGGCAAACAACGGCATTCCTATTTTATAGGAAGTATAGTTGAGACATAAAAGGGAAGCTCCCATTTGACACGCGGAAGTTCAAGTACACCAAGTATTAACTCAGTTTAAATTGAAAAGGGAAAAAAATTAAGAAATAGATGAATTTGCCGCAAATAATTAGGATAATAAGTTGAGGAAATAATTATATAAATAGAAGAGTTGTAGTTCTTTCCAAATGGTATAGCACCACCCATAAAACATGAATATCAAATTCAATTGACTCTACGTCATTTATTAATCTTTAAGTCTTTTGTCTAATGGCAATTTCCATTTAAAGAATCTAAGTTCCAGCAACTTACTTTTCTCTTGCAATGTTTAATTATGCTATTTCTATTCGAAATACTTGTTTTATTTAATTGAATTCAATGACAATCTTTGATCAAATTTTAGTCATCTAAATTCAGCCAGGGTATTTCATTACACTCTTTACTTTCCATGCAATCTAAATTCAGCCATTTTCCTTTAAGGCTCAATTTGGTAGAGTAGGTTTGAAGGGAAAGGGAAGGGAAGGTGATGGAGGGTTATAAAAAAATTGTGTTTGGGTACGGTGAGTGGAGGGAAAGGGAAGAAGAGGGAAGGGTTTGGAGGGGTTCTTCATAACAATGTACAGTAATTTCTTTAACCTTCAAAAAATGGGAGGATAAGGAAGGAAAGAGAAGGCAATGGCTCATATAATATTTGTCATGCCACTTTTACCCTCAAAATTGCACTTGATATTGGGCATGTATTCAGCGCGGGAAGCTTGCGAACGGCGGACGGCGAACCCGAACTGGAATAGCAATGGAAACTGAAAGATGTGGGTTTTGATTTTTTGAGGCGGACGGGGAACCCGAACTGGAACAGCGATGGAAACTGAAAGATGTGGGTTTTGATTTTTTGAGGCGGATGGCGACGACAAACCCGAACTGGAACAGCGATGGAAACTGAAAGGAAAAAAAAAACACACACACTTGATCTTCATTCCTGTAGCTAAAATTGGTTCCCAGAACAATTTTTCTTGAAAGGAGCTGCCTCCCATTTTTGGGAGCCCGCTCTACTCATATTGGAGCCTCCTCTACTTAAAGTAGGGCCTGCTCCATTCATATTGGAGCCTTCTCCACTTTTACTTGAGCCGGCTCATCTTGGGGCAAAAATGTTGTTGCATATTTAAATCCCAAAATTCATCTTTTAAAATATAAAAGGGCGTAATAGTAAATTTATTATTATCCTTCCCTTTCCTTTCTTTTCCCAAACATGATTATTATCCTTCCCTTTCTTTTCCTTCATTAATCAACCAAACACGATTGAGGATTAAACTTATCCTTCCCTTCCCTTCCCTTTCCCTCATAACTAATGTTATCCTCCCCCTTCAAACCCACCCTACCAAACATAGCCTAAAAGTCTATTTCAATTCAGCCACTTCATTTAAATTTCTTTATTTATTGCATTCCTTTTCTTTTTTAAATACAACTATAAAAAGTCCTGGCATCAAGATAGAAAAAGAATCCAGCCGAGAGTTCTTCCTATTCTCTCTTGCACAATCACCTGAAGGCTGCCACCAAAAGAGATAGTTTAGTGTTCAAATTATTTTTTGAGTATTTACATACTCTGGCACGCCCGTAAAATCCATCGGCCTTGTTAGTCCCAACATAGATCGATTTAATGAGATATCATATTTTGTGCCAAAATATTTTCATTCTTTTATAAACTCACCATTTAAAAAATAAATAAAAATGAATATTCGGTCTCTATTGGGGCTAATTTTTTTTATATGTTATGCTCCATATAAAAATGAATAATTTTGAAATTTTTTTTTGTAATAACCCGAGTATTTTATAAAAAATAAAATAAAATAAGATTATCGTAGTAGATTTTTAGATTGTATATTTCTCTCTAGTTATTAAGTTTTGTTAAACAAATCTTATATTTCTGGAGTTCTTGTTTTATAAGCTTTCCATGTATATATTATTTGCAATATTTTCGGTTTGTGATATATGAATTTTTGAAATTTGAAAAAAATTAAAATTTAAATAAAAGAATATTTTTGTCTAAATATCAACTCTTTTAACAGTTGAAGGGATTCTTTGGTAAAAACAATTCGAAGAGAATTTATTGAAAAGGATAACAAGTCCTGGGTCTTTGGTAAAAAATTAAACTAAGGTTTACCAAAAAGGTTACAAGCTAAGGGCGATTTTCTGTGCTTTGCCTTATTATTATTATTATTATTATTATTATTATATTTTGAGATTCACAAACAGGGTTGGTCGGCTCAATGGCAAGTCTACCGTTTGCAATGCGAACCGGCGGCTTAGGGTTGCAGCTCCTAGGTCTTGGTTTATTTCTAAACAGCCCGCCATTGTTTTGAAGTCAGTCTTCACAATACAAGAGCAGTTGAGTAACGAACCAAATGAGTGATTTCACAACGACAGAGTTATTCTCTCTCTCATGGTCTTCAACCTCACATGGCGTCCTCGGAACCATCTTCCCTCCCTTCTCTCTGCCTTTCTCTTTCGTTTCATCTCCAACCAAAAAAGCCTCTCCAGAAAACTCGTGCGATTCCACAACCCCATTTTGCAGCATCAATCTTATTCCATGGACTTATCTCAGAGGTTTCTCCAAGGCATGAAAGCTTGTTCAACTCTCAGGTCAATACCCATTGCCAGAGAACTCCATGCCCAACTCATTTCCACGGGGTTGGTCTCTTCTGTCTTCCTCCAAAACCACCTCGTGAACATGTATTCCAATTGCGGATCAATTGATGACGCTTACCAAGTTTTTCTTGAAATTGATTTCCGTAATGTTTTCAGTTGGAACACGATGATTAATGGGTTTGCGGATTTGGGGCGGATGGGAAAAGCAGAGCAGTTGTTCGACGAAATGCCTGAGAGAGACTCTGTTTCATGGAATTCCATAATGTCCGGTTATTTCCATAATGGGCAACCGGAGGATGCTATCAAAGTTTTTGTTTTGATGATTCGGGATTGTAATTGTTTCCCAGATTCGTTATCTCTCTCTTGTGTGATGAAGGCTTGTGCCAGTCTTGGGCATTTAAATTTGGCTGTTCAATTGCATGCCCTTGCTGAGAAATTTGGTTTTGGCAGAGATTTCTTTCTGGAATCGTCAATTATTGATATGTATATCAAGTGTGGTGCACTGAATTTTGCTGAACGAGTGTTTTCAAGAACATCAAATCCTAGTTTGTTTTGTTGGAACAGTATGATTTATGGTTATTCAAAATTATGTGGCGTAGGAAGTTCTCTTGATTTGTTCAGTCGAATGCCTGAACACGATGCTGTTTCTTGGAACACAATTATTTCCATCTTGTCTCAACATGGCTATGGTGCCCAATCTCTTGATATGTTCATACAGATGTGGATACAGGGTTTCAGACCCAATTCCATGACGTATGCTAGCGCTCTAAGTGCATGCACAGGTATTTATGATCTGAGATGGGGTCTTCATCTGCATGCTCGTATTATTCGAATGGAATCTAGTCTTGACGTGTATGTGGGCAGTGGTTTGATCGATATGTACGCAAAATGTGGATGCTTGGAATCTGCAAGGAGGGTGTTTGATATGCTACCAGAACACAATGCAGTCTCGTGGACTTCTTTAATTGGAGGATTAGCGCACTTTGGGCATGAAAAAGAAGCTTTGGCATTATTCAAACAAATGAGGGAGGTGCCTGTGGCCTCAGATCAATTTACTCTCGCTACTATTCTTGGAGTTTGTTCTAATTTAAAGGATAGTTCTCTTGGAGGACAGCTTCATGCATATGCAATAAATGTCGGATTAGATTTCTATGTTCCCGTAGGAAATGCTATTGTCACAATGTATTCTAGGTGTGGAAATGTTCAGAGTGCAAGCTATACATTTGAGTTGATGCCAATAAGAGATATTGTCTCATGGACAGCAATGATAACTGCATTTTCTCAGGCTGGAAATGTTGAATATGCTCGCAAATATTTTGATAAAATGCCAGAGAGGAATATTGTATCATGGAATTCAATGTTAGCCACATATATACAACACGGGCTTTGGGAAGATGGTCTCAGATTATATATTCTGATGTTCAGGGAGGAGGTTAAGACAGATTGGATTACTTTTACAACTTCAATCAGTGCCTGTGCTGATTCAGCTGTTTTGGTACTTGGTAAACAAATCATAGCTCAAGCTGAAAAGTTGGGATTTTGTTGTAATGTTTCAGTTGTAAATAGTATTGTCGCCATGTATTCGAAGTGCGGACAAATTAGAGATGCAGAGAAAGTTTTTGATTCTACAGTTATGAAGGATTTGATTTCTTGGAACACAATGATGGCTGGATATTCTCAGAGCGGTCAAGGTAGGAAAGTGATAGAAACTTTCCAGGATATGTTAAAATTGGGCTTTACACCTGACCATATAAGCTATGTATCTGTGCTATCAGGTTGTAGCCATTCAGGTCTTTTACATGAAGGGCAACATTACTTCAGTGTGATGACGAAGGATCATGGTATCTCTCCTACTTGTGAACATTTTGCATGCATGGTAGATCTACTTGGCCGTGCTGGATTGCTAGAACAGGCCAAAGATTTGATCAATGAAATGCCCCTTGAACCGAATGCTGCTGTTTGGGGAGCTCTACTTGGTGCCTGTCGGATTCATGGAGAAAGAAAACTAGCAGAAATTGCATTGAAGAATCTAATTAAGTTGGATGAGGTAGACTCTGGAAGTTATGTCCTTTTAGCCAATATATATTCAGATTCTGGAAAGTTAGAAGGTGTTTCAGATATGCGAAAACTAATGAAAGAGAAAGGAATCCGAAAGAATCCAGGTTGCAGCTGGATCGAGGTCGATAACAGGGTGCACGTGTTCAACGTAGATGACACTAATCACCCACAGATTAAGGATGTTCGTAAAATGTTGGAGGAGATCGCTAAGAAGATAGAAGGTTTGGAAAACGATGTTAATGAGACTGTTTCTGTTCAGCATAGGAGCTACCACAGTAAAAAAACTAGCAGTGGCTTCTGGGATGTAGGACGCCTATCCAGGCAAATGGAAAATCTTTGAATTTGTCATGATTTATGGTTGGTGATAAAGTTGGATTCTTTTGCAACCTCAAGGGAAGTTGTAGTGTAGGACGTGGGCTGCAAACTGTTTCCTTCATTTCAAGGATGAATCTTCTTGTTGCTGCGATTTAATCCGCGGTTTTTGTACTCACCTCACTTCATTTGTTGTACATACGGGTAAGGCACACTATTCGTATTAAGCAATGAATGGGCAAACTGAATTCTCCATTTTTAGACATTGAAATAAATACCTACAACTGCATCAAATCACATATTTAGGAACCTTTATTAAAATATTTAGGATAAAAATGATGGTCCTCTTTTAACGTTGAAGTGAAGAATCATCCGTTTCCCTCATAATGCAATTTTCGATTCTACTCTCTCGTACATGTTTCTCAGTCTAGGCCGTAGATTTATATGCTGCAATTATTGTACTTCAGAATTATGTAGAAGTACCAGGTACAAAGGCTGTCCTTGCTTGGTGAATTTGACGTCTGCATTACTCATTTGTTTGAGCCACATGTCGGCCATACCCATGAGGAAATGCTCCGCAATGGATCTTGGCCCTTTGAGCACGTGCTTTTGTTTTTTCTTCTTGCATCCATAAGCCAAAAGCCATTGCATTGCAATTAAACATTCCACTTTGAGCATGCTATAGAGAGTACAAGGTATATCCCTTTATGGACAATAGTTAGAAATTAAAGCTTTCTTTCCTTATTGCAAAAGATGTATCATTGTAATGAATGATCTTCTCCAGTGGGTTGTAGAATAAATCTCTCTCAACATGAGTGATGTATAACAATAAGCTCAATTCTAGCAAAGATCTCAAGAATGTGCAATAGAGATGTAGGAGATTTTAGGCTACCAAAGAATCTCCCAAGTGAGGTAGGCTTGTGAGATGTGAGCAAAGCAACAATTCCATTTGTAAAGCATTTAGTATTGTAGTTAATAAAAAATTAACTCAACTAAATACTTAATGATCAATTAGATTCGCTGATGTACATTTAAGTGCAAAATCTAAATGCAACAAAATGAAAATTATGTTGAATAGATATTTTCTCAAACACTTGGTGTGCAATAAAATTTGGCTAGTGAATAATCAAATAAATATTCAATTGCTTCAAGCAACAGCCACAACACAATCCCCTTAATCCTAGCATACAATAGAAATATAAAAAGAAGAGAAAGGAGAGAATTGCGTAAAGGCTTGAATGATATGAATTACTCATTCACAGTTCTAGTATTTATAGATAAAATGAGCACATGCTCATATTACAAGAAAGGAAACTAAATCAAATCACAACTTATTCTAAAGCATATTCTATGACATATTCTATAGCATAGTCAAATCTCTGCTATTATGGTAAGTCATTCCATAAATAGTGACTATCATATATGCTAACATATGCAGAGTTAACTCTTTGCTCTTATGGTAAGTCATACCATAAATCGTGTTATCATATATGCTAACACATACATCCCGTCCTCCTTGTAAATGTAAATAAAAATTAGCAATCTCACAGTATTCATAAATAAAGCATTGAGAGTTTAAGGTTAGAGAAATTGCAAACTAAACAACACCACGATATACATGGTTCGGCATCACCTTGGGCTTACATCCATGCCTTGAGAGAACCTCCTAAGGATTCCACTATGACTATGAGGCTTTCCTTGCAGGTGGAAAGCAAATATTTACATGCTCTTGCTTGCGGGTGAAGAACAAGCCTATATAAGAAGCTAACTAGCTTCTCCTTCCTTCTTGCTAATCCACCTTCTCTCAGACTTCATTTTGGGTCACACCAACCCTTAGAATAAATTTATAGGAAGAATTAGTATAATGAATACATCTCTCAAAGATAGATAGCTCAAATCAAAGCTCACATACCTAGAGTTACACCAAAATGATAGCCCTTCTCTAGGATTTTTCCACTATGAATGATATTCAAGGGTTTGGCTCAATAGATGACAAAATGTTTAGGGTGGGATGTACACGTCATTATGTGTGATTTCACCCCACTAGGGGCGATTTGTGAGGCGATCTGTGTTTTGGTTGTTTGGAATGAAATCTTTTCTGGATATCGCAAGGTTACCAAGAATTTCGCTCGGGGGAGATGTGAAGTCGGCGGTTCCTCATCGCGGTCCGTCGTTGTATATCGACGGGGAATCCGTCGGAGGAAGGATATCTGTTCTCTCCTCTTGTTTGGTCGGAAAATTTGACAAGGAAGTGGGGAGTTGTGATCGCGTGAAAGAATGGGCAGCGAGGGCTTGGAATACGACTTGTGGAGTGGGGGTTTCACCGTTATCCGATTCAATGCTTCTTTTCCGGTTTCTTTCTCAGGCAGAGGCCAAACGTGTGTTGAAAGAAGGGCGAAGACAATGGGGTTCTGCAACTTTGAGGATCGACGTGTGGTCCTTTCGTGTTGGTTGCTGTGGCGTTCTCAGTGATCAAGGTCTCAAGCAGATCCGGTTGTTTGGACTTCCATTACATTTATGGTGCCGTGCTCTGTTCGTCGAAGTGGGAGAACTTTGTGGTGGTTATGTCAGATCTGACGCGGATGAGACCAGGGATGCTGAAAGCGTTCGGATAATAGTACGAGTTGGTCGTGATTGTCCGAAGTTTGTGTATATCAACAACGACACTTTCTGCTACAAGGTCGCGATTTGGGAAGAAATTTCGCCGGAGCTTGTTCCTTCAACGGAAAGTCTTGAAGGCAGTGACGGATCTCATCTTATGTCGGAAGAAAAATGGAACAAGCTTCTTAGCAAAGGTGAAGAAGGGATTCTTGAAATTCAACAGTGGCTAAAGGATCGTGAAATTTAGCAAAAGGTGAAGTTTATTGGAGGTAGACGACGAGGTGAGATTCACACGCTGAGCAAACGCGTCGTTGATGAGCAACACCGGTGTACACGTGGTGAACGATGGGCTACCCCTTCAGATTCAGCTTTATCCTTATTTCTTGAAGATAAGGTAGGGAAGGATTATTTTCGGGCTGATAAAGGTTTTACTTTGGGCCATAAGTTATCAAGACAGGTCAGGAAATTTGGGCCTGATAATCATGGGCTCATTCAATCTCAGCCTTATAGAGCGTATTTGGGTTCTGGGCCTGTTAGAAGAAGACTACAGAAAGGGCCACTTAGATTTAGTCAAATTGGGCAACTCCAAACTGGGCCTCTCAAGTCTGGGCCTATTAGAAAGGTACGAAAAGGGCCTAACTCATTATCTATCTCCCTTACAAACATCAAACCTGGTCCTAATGAATCACAAGCCCATACCAAAACTTCTAATATTTTGATGAAATCCGAGAGGAGATTGACGAACGTCGGACGCCATGGATCTCGGTGGATTCGGAATGAAAAGCAGAAATGGGTCGCACGTTCTCGCACTTCTTCTCCAGGTTTGAGTCCTAATCTTTCTCTCAACACTCTTTCTACTTCTTCTCCTTCTTCTTCGGGTGAAGTGGCTAGCGACAGGAATGTTGCTAAAAATGTTTCGGGTCAACAGAGAAGTGTCATTGGGATTTCGACTTCAAAATCAGAGTTGGACGTCTCAAAGGTTACTACCGAGAGTACGGTTTTTCTCAATGGAGTGACAGTTTGTGTTGGAAAAGATTTGCATTTCAAATTGAATAATGATTCAGTCGTAGCTTTGCTTAAAGAGCTTCGGCTATTTACTTCAGTTAAAGGTTTGAGCAATTTTTCATCTGAGCATGAGGAGTTTTCAGTAATCCCATCCAAAGAAGTTAATGCTTCGGAAATAGAGGGGATTTTACAGGAAGGAGTGGTTGATGTTGCTTTTCAGCAGCACCCTTTTAACGCATCTTTTTCCGGGACAGATCCTGTTCACGATGAAGTGGACTTTATGGAACCTTTGGCTGTTGTGCGGCCTGATTGTTTGAAGACTACCACTGATCTGGGCATGGAATGGGTCATTAAGAATATTGGAGCAGTTAGTGAAGCTTTGGGTGTCTCTGCAGAAGGTTATGAGGAACAAACCCTGTGTATTCTCTACGAAATTATTGCAGGAAATGGTAGCAGTGAACCAATTCGTGACACAAAAGAAGTCAAAGTCAGAAATTCACATCGGAAAGGCGAACAGGAAGTGAAGAATTTGATTTCTTGTGTTAACTACGATGGAAAGAATGGGTCAACCAAAGAAAGGGGGAGAACCAGGAGTGGTAAAAGGGGAGGAGGTGAATTGATTGTTTTTGGTTCTTCATGAAGCTACGACTTATAATATGGAATGTTCGTGGTCTTAATGACCCGAAAAGAAGAAGAGTTATCAAGGTCGCTTTGAGGAAGTGGAGTGCTCATGTTGTCTGCTTACAAGAAACTAAATTGGCTGATATTACTGTTGAGATTGTCAGGAGTCGTTGGGGAGGTAGGTTTGTAGACTTTGAAGTTTTAAATGCAACAGGCACTTCAGGTGGTATTCTCCTCATGTGGGATCGTAGATGGTTGTCAAGTTTGAACTGTTGGAAGGGTATTTTCTCGGTGTCATGCATGTTTCAGATGGAAGAAGACAATTTCAAATGGACGTTTTCAGGTGTGTATGGGCCTGTTACTGATAGTGATAAACCAGTCCTGTGGGAAGAGCTTTGCTTTGTTAAGGACTTATGGTCATTGCCTTGGTGCTTAGGTGGGGATTTTAACTCTGTTAGATCCCCATTTGAGAGATCCACAGGAGGTAGGTGGTCTTCAGAAATGACCATGTTTTCAGAATTTGTTGACAATAATTTTCTTATCGATCTTCCGTTGGAAGAAGCGGCTTTTACTTGGTCTAATGGTAGGGAACCGGTTACCTTTTCTCGATTGGATCGTTTCCTGATTTCTGGGGCTTGGGAAGAGCATTTCCCGGATGTCTCTCAGGCTGTGTTGGTTAGAGTCATATCTGATCATGTACCTCGTGTTTTGGATTGTGGTGGTTTGAGGTCTAGACGCACTCCTTTCAGATTCGAAAACATGTGGCTTAGATCTGAAGACTT